AAGTATCGATTACCTACTAGACTTAGTTTTTACACCATGTTTCCCTTAAAAATATAATGGAGTTTATTTGTCTCCACGTTTACGATAGATGAAATCGTTATTTTAGCGATGATTGTGTTATATTTCAGATACCACAAAGCGAAAACAAAATTTTTATGCAATCCAGAAAAAGGAATTTTAGAATTGGAACAGAAGTTGCCGTTCTCGTGGCACGCTTTCAATGAAACGCCCAAATACGAAGTAATTATGTCAATATATTATGACTATTATACATTTTTATCCTTCGATATAATATACTTACTTAACTTATTGTGCTGAAAACAATTAAATAACAATTAAACGCGACCGTTCGCCACTCGATGGTTACTTTTAGGAGATCCCAGAATACAGAATGGCCACTAAACTGTTGAGCATGTTTGCGCCATCCAATGTTACGTTCTGGTTTGTGTACTATAATTTGATGCCGTTTATGGATTATACGAATTGGCTGCCACCGTTCAGAGGTAGGTACCTACAGAGTTGGGCATTTTTAACTATTTAAAAAGACTAAAGCTAAAGTTAAGTTAAAAAGTCAATACCTTTTTAACTTTTTAACTAAACTAGTTTTCATTAAAATTCAAAAACTTGACTACCTAGGTAAAGCATCCATTGTAACAAATGAAATTGTTTTTGCAAATTTGAAAAATTAATACGTCAAGTTAAAATCATGTTTATATGTTATTTTTTTGTCATATAAGCATATCACTGGGTAGTTGATGTATAAAATGGTTTTAAATACAGAAATACAAATTAACACTCCTTGATTTAATAATTTATTTGACAAGAACGCATGCAAATACCTAACAGCTGTTATAAGAAAGAATAGTTGTATTATAAAATGGTACATTTTAATTAAAATATTTGGTTATTCTTTCAAAACATTTAAAAGTTTCCTCATATTTGTATGTGTGTTCCGTGTATTATTTAAAAATATAAAATAAATTTACTTCTTATTTTTCGAGTCACATAAATTTTTTTCCATGTTATTAACCTTTTTTAGATTAAAATATAACTCTGTTTGTTAACTATTACAGAGCTTCATGTTTTTAACTCTACTAGGTAACTAAAATTAATTTTTTTCACGAACTTGCTCATACCTTTGGATAATCTCTGAATGTTAGAATATTATACTATAGGTAGGTAATTGCAACCACCATCCCATCATTACGATTTTATAATATAAAATGTATAATATTATCGTGTGTATACAGTCACAGCTTTTCTAAATATTTCWGGTAACACTGCTACAGATCACGCAACCCCGTATAATATTAAAATTTATATTTATTACGTATGACATCAATATAATAATGGCCTACGATAATTCCGTATATTATTATAATTAGATACACGCGTGATCGGAATTTCATAGCTGAGAAATAGTTTCAAATACACGCGTTGAATTACACAGGGTACACTATATGTCATAGCATATTTTAACATACAAAGTACGGGGCACTAGTGCCCCCCAGTGATATTTTAATGCTACCCACTGGTGGGTGATCGTGCCACACTGCCACTGACTAATACGTTCTCATAACGACCGATAGGTACCAATATCAATTATTATGTATATACTATATAATATATGTATACGGAACATAAAACTATTTTAAGCTTTCGACTCTTGTATAGTTTATCCCATACTATACATATAATAAACAATAATAATATTTTATTGAATGTAGAACATATGTCACATGCTCACAACTATTTTATCGGAATTGTTTATATTATATACCTATTTGATAATATAAATTATACGAATAGATATAGTTGTACTGATGTAGTACGAAAATAGTACACGTAATTTTAACAATGCTATCAATTTCTTCGGAAGTCGTCGATCGTCACCGTAAATTGAAGGWTKGGTGGRDATAASRTGCTATATTACAACATTTCTAATTTTCTACATATTTTGAATTTTCGTCCTGTACTCCTGATAAAAGACAGGCGAGGCGACCATACACTGTATAGGTACATTTTATACTACTTTTATACAATTGTTTAGAAGTATTCATATTTCATAGCATTGTTCTGTGATTGAAATATCAAATACTTATA